GAAATATTTTACAGCAGAGTAAACTGGCGCCTCGTGAGTCCTTGCCCCTACTTTCCTAATCGCTAACGCTACCCCCTCCACTACATCGATCTTTCCCGTGCATGAGAGAGTGAGGCATACGGCGAGGAAATCTCAACGTACTGGAGAGAGATCGATGCAATGGAGGGGATTGCCCTAGCGATGAAGCGAGGGCCGCCAGTTCAAAACTCCGACTCTATTTCACAATATGTATTTCGTAATGAAGCTCCCGTCATTTAGTTTAACTCTCAGAGACACTTTACGTGTCTTCGTAATGAAAGTGATTTGACTTGATTTCCACTGATTATAATTTTTCACTCTCGCATATACCACTAGCTTTTGTATATGTGAATTTCTATATGTACAGTTTCGTGTTATATCTCGTATTAAATAAATCTTAATATTAAACTCATCGTACTTCATCAATGTAGACGACGAGGGACAAGAGTACGCTGTATCTTACGGCGAGCTGAACGAGCTGACCAACAAATTGGCCAGAGCGTTACGAAAATTGGAAAAACCAGAGAATTCGTCGAAATCGTTCGTGGCAGTATGCATGAAGCCGTCTCATCGGCTACCAACGCTATTGATAGCCATACTGAAGGCCGGCATGGCGTATCTACCTTTGGACGCGGAGTTCCCGATGGCCAGGGTGAAACACGTTCTGCAAGAAGCGAAACCTTACACAGTGGTGATCGAGCAAGGAGGTAAAAACGATTATCCATTTTCTTTTTTTTTTCCTCTCCTTCTTTTTCCGACCATATCAAAGTCCCAGGTTAAAAAGAATTAAAAACCACTTACAATTTTCAACGTCTTTTGTATCTTTAGTGTTTTTAATTTAATAGTAATCTTGATTAATCATTCAAGTAGACACGTACATGTTACGCATAATGATATTAACTTTTTAATAATTAACAATTGGTGCTTCCAGCCTTTGCTTCGATTGCAGTAATCCGACATACACTGTTTGATCACTGTTGTTGTATAATATTTTATTTCTGGGCAATCTAAATTTATTGTAAATGCTGCACTCGCTTGATTACTTTTACTGTACTTGTAACTGGCATTCTAACATGAAAGTTCACTTGGCCCTCAGTTGCTCTTCACTAGATAGAAATAGATAGAAATTCTATCGCTCGTACAATGAAATCAAATTTGAAACTCGATTCTTTCGAAAACGAAGCGTTTCACCGAGAAAACGTTATTCGTTTTATTTTCTCTTGTTTTTGCACATAGAATCATCTCATGCTCGCTATACCTGATATCCTAAGATTCTGCATAACGTGCACATATATTTCATTTTTATTATATATTATTATTATATCATATCTTGTACAATTTTCCACTTTTAAATTCTCCAGAAACGCATAAAAGTCCGTAATCTATTCGTCAAATTTTTCAACGTATATTCATCTTATATTAGTCATTCTACAAACACGCACTGACATTCAACGTGTTGAGAAATAAAATTATTTAAAGGATTTATTATAGCTAAGAAACGCTGTCACGTTACGTTCGACGCTTCCCGTTTTCTTTTCTCTGATTTAAATACGTTTGAATGATTTGAAAGCCGATTTCAAGTTTTGCTATTTATCATGCAGACTCGAAGATGCTGAAGCTTCTGTAAAAGCAGATAGATCTCAAGTATAACTTCCTGCTCTCTGTCTCTCTCTCTCTCTCTCTCTCTTTCTCTCTCTCTCTCTCTCTCTCTCTCTCTCTCTTGTTCATCCATTAACTCGCAAACTGGTTTCTAGTCTTCATTTTTAATCCTAATCATCTGCTGTCACTTCGTATCAATCTTTATAAGACGATTAACACTAAACGTACCGGCATTTTACATATTATACCTATCTTACCATAAGGGGTCAAATGACCCCTCGCGGTACATAAGGTATGCAAAGAATTTTTCTCGGTTAAAAAAAATAAGCTACAGAAAAACAGAAAACAAGAAATTGTATAATATGAAAATTTACAAAAAGTCAGATTAGCGAAAGAAATAGCAACAAATGTACGATTTTTAAAAGGGGTCATTTGACCCCGCTTGGTACGTTCAGTGTTAATAAATCCGCGATGGCACTAATTTCTGTGATTCGACTACGCAAAACGGAATTAATCGACACACCGGATATTCTGAAAATTTTTGCATTTCAAGCACAGAGTGTAATTTGTGGTACAAGTGAGAAAAAGAAATAACATTAATACGCATTAATATTATGTATTAAAAAGTTATAATATTATACATGATAATAATTAATATTAATGTAATGTATGTATTATTATACATGTATACATAATATTAATATAATATATAAAGTTCCATTTTTATTTCACTTTATGATATTATATACAATTGAAGTTAATGTATCTATTAAGCTAGTGGTTTTCTGATCAATTTTTTTTTCGGAAATATGAAAATAGATTTGTACTGGAAATTATATGATTTCATTTAAAAAAATCGACCTTTGCACATCCTCTACACATCCACCTATCAAGAAAACTGTTACAAGAAAAAATGACATTAATATACATTAATAATATATATATATATATATTGTACAAAATTGAGGTTAAGCATCTATTAAGCTAATGACTTTCCAATATAAATAGATTTTCTTCTAAACTATCGTTTTAGAAAATGTCAAAATAGATGAACATGAATATCAAAATAGAACGAATCACTAAAAGTTATATTCTTCAAAAAAAAAAAAAAAA